GCCTGGAAAGCAAAGCAACTGAGGGGGATGGTGCAGACCAGGCTCCTGATCCAGAAGGTCCTGGGAAGTGGAGAGATCACCATGAACTGCTCGTGTGAAACCCAAAAGGTGACTTGGAAACAGTGTGTGGTCTCCAAGCTTCGATTGCAGCTCCTGCTCGTATCAGAACACGGTTCTGCCGGAATCTCTTGGGGACTTTCTTCCTTTGGGTGATCCAACTCCATGTCTGTTCTGCTTACAGCTGCATTCCCTGCTCATTCTCAATTTTCATTTGTTTTGAGGTTGAATCAGATCTTTTTCTCGCTGCTTTGCTCTCTGGACTAGAAGAAATTGCCTATTAAACAAAGAAACAAAACACAAAAATAAGAAATCCCTTAGAGAACAACACAGCGTTCCTGTTAAATCAGGCAGAGGGGCTTGAAGATAACATTCATTTTTATTTTTCCTCTCCAGGCAGTTGTTGCCCGTTGTCGGAACCGTCTCTGCCGCCGGGGCGCAGGGCGAGCTGGGGCGGTCGYGGTGCCGGGGCGGCGGGTGACAGGGCAGCCCTGAGGTCACAGGGGAGCCGTGAGGTCACGGAGGGCCCCCCGGGGCACACGTGGCAGCAGCAGCATGGGGGGACCATGGGGGGCCCCCGCAGCCCCCGGCCTCCTCCTGCTGCTGCTGCTGCTGCTGCCGGTGGCCCCGTGTGCCCGGGACACCAGGGCTGCCTGGCCGGGGGCGCTGGGCCCAGGTAGGATGAGCAGCGGAGTGAGGAGGGGGCCGGGGGGGTCCTGGCTGGGGAGCCCCCAAGCACCGCAAGGGCTTTTCTGAGGGCAGACAGGGACGCGAAGGGCGAGGGGGGTGACGGGGAGTGAATTCCTCTCAGAAGGATGCACYTGCTCTCTGTGAATTCCTTGGGATTTGCACGGAAGCAAAGTCCCCCCAGCAAGGTGCAGGAGGGTTGGACTAGATGACCTCTGAGGTCCCTTCCAACCTTAAGCATTCTATGATACAAACCATTCCCCATGCAGACTATGAAGGTGTTTGCGTCTGTGTCTGCCTGCAGCTGTGCGTGGAGGTGAYGGGTACCCATCTCTGGACGGACGACCCATCTTTGAGGAGCAGCAGAATTCCCTGGGTGAGTAGTCGGCATCCTGGGAAGAATAGATCCCTCCGCTTCTCCATCAGCTCGGAGAGGAGCAAAATATGCAACGGAAGCTGGTGCCATTCATCATTGCCTCTGATGTCCCTGTAGGCAGAGCATACCCATCCCTGGAGAGGGATCCAATTTCTGAGCATCAGCAGGATCCCCTGGGTGAGTAGTAGTTATTTCTTGCAAAGCATGAGCTTCTTTTCACAGTTCCTTAGATTTCCTGGGTAGCAATACATGTAATGGAAATTGTCATTTGTTTCTGCCTSCAAATGTGCTTGCAGGGAATCCCTCCCCGTCTTCCCACCCAAAAAGACGGGGTATTTATAGCCTGGAAGGAATAAGAATTTAGATAAGATGTATTGCCTGGAAGGAATAAGGAATTTTACAATTCCTTAGATTGGCAAGAGAGCAAAATATGTAATGGAAAGTGTTCCCAAGTACATTTGTGTTCAAATGTCCTGGTAGGCAGAGCCAACCCCTCCTCAAAGAGGCAACCGGTTTTTGAGAGTCGGCGCAACCCCCTGGGTGAGTAGGCACGATCGGTTCCCTAGAAAACATGAGCATTTTAACAACTCTTTGGTTTAGCAGGAGAGTGAAGTTGGTGATGGAAACCGTTGTGCTGCGTGTTGCAGGCAGAACATACCCCTCTTTGGAGAGGAGTCCTGGCTTTGAACATCAGCAGGATCTCCGGGGTAAGTAGTATTTATTCCTTGCAAAGAATGAGCTTTTTTTTTTTTTTTTTTTTTACCGTTCCATAGATTTCCTCCACAGCAGTACACTGAAAGTGCTGTCATTTGGTTCTGCCTCCTGTTGCCTATAGGCCATGATTATCTGCCTTCGGAGCGGGGTCGGATATTTGAGCCTTGGCGGGATCCCTCAGGTAGGTAGTCGGTACTGGTTTTCTGGAAGGAATAAGAATTTTTGCAATTCTTCAGGTGAACAGGAAAGCAAAACAGCTAAAAGCAGCTGCTCTTGGACGCGTTTGCCTACAGATGCAATGGTTGATGAAGCCAAAGGAGGTTCACAGCAGGATCTGACTTTAAAGCCTCATCAAGATCCCCCAGGTAAGTAGTCAGTGTTTATTGCCTGGAAGGAGAGAGCAATTTTACAATTCCTTAGATGAGCAAGAGAGCAAAATACGTGATGCAGCTGGCAGTGTCTACGTCCCCAGAGCTTGCAGTGAATCCGTAGGGAGCTCAGGTCCCAAGGAGTAGAGTGCCCAGCTGGGCACGGGCTCCAGAGGGAAGCGCTCCCATCCTCCTCCATCCTCCGTGACTGAAACACGTCAAGACCTTTCTCCTTTCTCTGATTAGTGACAGTGCTGGCAGATCTGTCGAAACCGCTCTACGTGGATGACCTCATTGTAGGTCCCATGTACAAGACTGATGAAGGTAAAGACGAGCCCGTTTTATCTGTTTGTGAAGCTCTCCTTTGTCCCCATGCCCAGTTCCMTGCAGCAAATGGATTCTGACTCTGAACGAAACAGCTATGAAGGAGCTAAAGCTCCATCTGCAACTGAGACGTGCTGAGACTTTACTTTTCTCTGATCAGAGCCAAGCGTCTCAAAACCAGAAGGGAACGGCCCCATCGTCATAATCCCGATGGACAAAACTGGTGAAAGTAAATGTAGTTTTGTTCCTTTTTTTTGTATAGCTGCCCTTTAGGACCTTGCTCACTTCAGTTAGTAGTGCTGGTTTGGGCTTCCTGCCCGTRTCTTAGCCATGCACAGTCACTTGGTTAGTCTTACGACGTGCAAGAGCAGCAGCATTTGCGCTTTGTATTTGTTGACTTAGGAAGCTGCAATTTTTCTGCAGCTATTTAGAAACTCATTGCCTTTCAGCTCATTTTTTTTTCTGCAGCTGTAATGTATGTGTTCAGTTGAAAGAGAACAAACGTTTTCCTATGACTGGTAGAGTTTGTCTAGACCTCAGCTACAGAATTACCAGGGTAGGTCTGGCTGCTTGTTGAGCTGCTTAGAATAAAAGGAAAATTTGCACTGACTCAAGACTTGGGAGTTCAAAACTACCTGCAAAACCTCAGAGCTGTTCTATCCATTTTGTTTTGAACCCAGCTTTGCTTTGAGCAGTGCTCAGAGCAGCAACTCCCCGGGCCGTGCAGGGGACATAGAAGGTGCTTCTAGATCCTCAGTAGTGCAGGCTCTCCCCGTCTAACGTATGGAATTGTGTCACCTCCTCCAGGTGTGGGCAGAGAGAAGGACAGTGCCCATCCTCACAACACCTGCAACATCTACATTATAGCACTGTCTGTGGCACTCACAGGGTTCCTGCTGGCTGTGATCTACATCCTCACTTTGCACTGGAGAATCAGAAAACAGTGAGTTGCTCTTCCCCTCTCATCCCCCAGTCATTTATTAGATGCCTGCTAATAGTAATAAAGTATTTATAGTTTTCTGGGGTGCCAAGGTGGTTGTTCCTGGTAGTCCCTTGAGATTTCTGCTGTTAAGACCTTTTCACTGGCCGTGTGAATATTCTTTTTGGAAACGTATTTTATTGTTGCAGAGAACCTGTATTACCTTGCACGGACTCTGTGCATAAAACAGAAAAACAAAGTAGAACCAAATCAAGACGGCACTAAAATTAAAAAAAAAAAAAAAACAACAACAAAAAGCCAAAAAATGGGGCTGCCCTAGAAGAAGAGACCATCATCCTCGACCCCATCAAGCAGAAGGTGTGAGGGCACTGAAACAAGATGCTGCTGGGGAACGTGTGCCAAGTGACAGCTTTTAKGGGAGTAACGTTGGCTTTGTCTTCCCCTGCAAAATCACCACACACTGGATTTTATGTCCCATGCGTACCAGCCCAGAAAAATAAAGCATAATTTCATCTAAAATTGCTTTTTTCCCTTTTCTTTTTTGTTATTATTATTTGTAACTCAAAGAATTTTGGGGTGGGGTGAGAAAGGGAGGAATGTGTCAGAACGCAGCTGCACAGAGGCAAGTCCAGCACAGTGCAGCTCCAGAGCTGCCCAGAGCCCCTGAGCAAACGGCGCCTCTCCTCTCCCACCACCTCCCATCCCCACCTCAGYGCTCTCAGCCACCAAAGTTCAGACCATCCAGCCTGCCGGGCCATCTGTACCTTTCCAGAGGATCCTTACAAGCAGGGAGTCGGTGTCACACGGCCCTCGGGACCCTCCCCTCTCCTCCAGTAACCACACAACAACCCAAAGCTTGTCTCACTTTTATTTACATAATTGCACGGCCCATTTCCTTGTGACACTAGAACGTGGTGGGGCAGGGTGGGTCCCGCATCCCCCAAAGCTGCGCAGCTCCTGGGAAGGAGAAGGCTCCAAGAGTCGCTATCAGCTCCAATTATTGGCAACCATGATCAAATAACAAAGCAAAGTGAGGATGCAGCCCTGCAGCAGCACAAGACCAGGCCCCATCTGTCCCAGCCAGGGAGTTCTGGCTTTCACAGTTGCATATTTTGGATTGATGTGGGGTTTCCCAGCAGAAACTGCTATGGGAACACAGCGTGGGAATGCAAATCCTCAGACACCTGCCAGATGTGGCAGCAGATCAGGCTCCCAGGAGGCAGCCAGGACTGGGAAAGTTAAACCAGACCCCGAGGTTTTCGCTGCACTGGGAATATCCAGGCTTTGTGAGTGCTGCTGGGGAAAGGCTGAGTCGGGGGGATCAAGCACTGGACACAGAGGATCAAAGCAGAGCTCAGCACCCAGAGGGGCTTGGGAGGGAGGCAGCGCCCAAGCAGGAGCTACAAGGCCTGGGAGAAGGATGGAGAAAAAGGAAGGAACCCAGAGGAAAGGGGTGAAGGGGAAGAGACCAGCCCTTCCTGGGGGCCTGGGAGGGAGAGGGGAGCAGAAAACACTGGTCCCTGTTGTCAACCCCTGATCTGACCCTTGTGCTCAGAGCAGAGAGAAAACCGGACCGGCGTCTGCCAGGCCAAGGCTGGGCAGGCAGTGGCTTCTGCAAAAAGTGCTGAAAGGCCAGAAAAACATCACAGAAAATCATCCTAGAACAGGAGATAGAGGAGGGAAGTGGACACAGGCCCTGAGGATGGCGCGATGCTGCTGGGGGACAGGACCCTGGTCCCGCTGCAGCAATTTCAGGGGTGAACTAAACCCCTGAAAGCAGCTCCTCTAGCTCCGGCGAAGGGATGTGCGAGGAGAACACAGAGGCAGCTGAGACTGCAGAGCACAAGCTGCCTTGGTCAGGGTCGTGTGGAACTGAGTGAGGAGAGGTCCAGCCTCGAGACAGTGAAATACAGCAGCAAACTCCAACGCTCACCTCTTGCGGTCAGAAAGGGTCCTTTCCAAGCGCTTTAACAGCAAAAGGAAACTGTGAGTTTAGCTGGTAGGAGCCACCGCTTCCCACCCCCGCGTCCTCGTCCCCCTTTGCTAGGGGGACATTCGTACAGGAGCCGAGCGCGTCTGCGTCCTGGGGATGAACGGGATCTGGGAAGAAAGTGGTTTGTGAGATCACATCTGCACAGGAAAAGGTTTTCTCATTCGAGACTTCTTTTGGAATTCTCAAAATTACAGTATTTTACAATACAAAATGTCTCCATTCAGTATTATGTCATTTTACTCCTTCTGGGATTATAATAATTATTAAAAACACGCAACTTCCTAGAAAGGACAGAAACACCACAAGAGAGACCAAAGAGCAACGGAAAAGGCTGCTGCAATATTATCAAAACCCATTTAGTGCAAAGGAGAAGGGGGCTTTCAAGAACAGTCAATGAAAAATGTTCTTTAAACACTCACGTGGAGAAAAAGGCATAGATTTAACCTCTGAATGAGATCAGGCTGCCAGCTTCTATACTGAAGCTTAGAACATCAACGCAAAAGGACTGAAACACAATATGCATGGCCATTAAAAAATAATATTATATATAGATATACATATATAGAGGGAGAGATTTTCCACATATGGTATTTAGTTATAGCAAAGTGTCCCTGCACCCAGGCACATTTGCCGTCTGGCTCTCTCAGGCCATTCCACGCGACAGATTTCTCTCATCTGTCTGTTTGCCCGGGCATCAAGCACATGCAGACTACAGGCCCCCCTGGGTGGGAGGATTGTTTCCCCGTGTCTCTGGCACCCGCACAGAGACCTCGACCTCTTTTCCGTTGCCGGTCCCAAAGGGCTGTGGCAGCTCTGGCCGCGGCCTCGCGGCGCAGCAGGCTGTGGCCGAGGGCTGGCTCAGACGGTGGTTTCATCCGCGCTCTTCTTCATGAGCTTGGCGGAGAGTAAGGAGTGGGGCACGGGGTGAGGGCTCCGCGCGGCCGGGATCATCAGGCGGACTTTCTGGTTGGTCCTTCGCCACTCTGAGTACAGCTGGCAATGGTAGCGGAACGAAACCTGGGGGGCAACAAGGCAGCGCTCTGGTTACCTCCCTCCTGGAAGAACCGCTGGGACGCCAGGACCCCATCCACTCTGTTCATGCTTCCCGGCTCTTCCACCGTGCCCGAAGCAACGGAGGCAGCACTAACCCCAAACCGTTTGGGTGCTCCATGGGACAGCCTTGGATGGGAAATCCATCTCCTGCTGACATGGGACTGAGACAACCAAAGAGGCTTCCTGGGCAGCACCAGCACTGAGGGACACAGTGGGGTTGGGAGGGAAGCCACAGAGACGGGAAGGGAAGAACCACAAGCGGCTTCTCCATCCCAGGCATAGAGTGAAGCCAGCACCAAGGCTGGACTAAACTAGGGCTCTCAGCGAGATCAGCCTAGAAGCGGCCAAATCCAACCCAACTCCTCCAGTCTCAACAGATCCCGGGGGATCTTATGCCGAAACCTTCTTGCCTTGGTCTGCAGCAGCAGCGCCTGGGCTGATCTTTCCAAACCACTTCCTCCAGCAAGGCTCTTACTCCAGACACGGCCATTTCTCCACAGAGTCCACCAGGGGGAGAGCGCAGAGGGAGCCCCGCAGAGCTGGCCCCGCAGCTCCGASCTGGCCCAGCTGCCTCCCCTCCTCGCTCGGCCCTCCTGCGCTATCCCTRCCACCACGGGATTTTCTCCTGCCACTTTTACTCGGAAATCAGAACCATTATGGTTGGAAAAGACTTTGGAGAGCATCAAGGCTAAAAAACTGCTTGCTGCGTTGGCCGGGAATCGAACCCGGGTCAACTGCTTGGAAGGCAGCTATGCTAACCACTATACCACCAACGCGCTGATGCCGTGTTTCTGGAAATTTTTGAGGAACTGAAGAGGAAAAAAGCATATATTTTCCCTGCATCTTTCTTTTCTCTTTTCCCTCAAAACTGCAAGGAAGAAAATTGAATAATTAATCTATCCGGCCACTCATTACCACCAAAGTTTCTGTAGAAGCTGAGGAAACATCGYGTGTCACTCATCCACTAAAGCAGCGTTCAAATCGCAAGGACGCTCCTCTCTGCTACCAGCGATGGAGCTGGGCCACATGTGGGGGAATTCTGCCTATTCATGCTCCTGTCTTTTCCCAATACAGGAACACAACCAGGAAAATAATGTTATTTACTTATAGAAGAGAAGGAAATGCCTCTCGTTGAGTTGCTGTAGTGATCAGAGCCAGCGTGAAGGGGAAGCTGATAACATGGAGCTCAAGGAAAGCCCCTGCTCTGTGAAAGCAGCAGCAGCAGCAGYGTGTCACCCGGGCCTCTGTGACAGCCCTGACAGCCCTCTGTGATGCCCGGCCTGCACCTATGGCAGACACTTCTGACCATAAGTCTGGATACGGGGGCTGCGGAGCAGGCCTGGGAAGATGGAAGCACCTCCTCTGAACACTTCCAGTTTTAGCTCGACTTGCTCCAGGAATGAAGCTCGAGCAGGCGTGCGGGTCGCGCAGTGCTGGGGTTTGCCCCGGGCAGCTCCCCAGTGCTGGCGGCGGCAGAGACCGTGCACGCTCAGCACACTGGCTGCTTTCTCAGCCCTGAAGGGCGGCTGCGGCAGCAGGGTCCACAGGGGAGCGGTGCGAGGAATGTCCAAACCCAAGTGACAGGGTGGCACCTCCTTCCTCCGCTCCTCTGTGCACAGCCCAGCAAAGGGCACGTCAGCAACGTTAGCAACTCCTGCCTAAAGATAATTAAATAGTCAGGCAAGCAAAAGAACCTGAGCTTTGCTCAGGAAGGGGGGCAGCAAAGGGGCCAGCTGCAGCAAAACAGTGCGAGCCACTACCCCAACCTCCTGTTCTAACCGAGCACTCTGCCCGAGCGATGCTCTCTCGTGCACTCACCAGTGTCCAAAGGACGTAGATTGTAAAAAGTGCTATAGTTAGTGCTATGAGTCCAATGGCTTCCAGGCGGCTGTTGAACTGCAGGTGATCCTGGGCTCCCCGCAGACACAGCCAGCCCGAGATGGCGGCCAGGGGAGTGATGAAGAGGAAACACACCATGTCACAGAACARGGTCCTCTTCTCATTGCGGGGACCTGGGTCCTTGAGCCACTGCAGGGAGGAAAGGAGAAAGGCCATYAGTCTGGGCTGGCCTAGCAAGCGGGGCTGCTGGAGTCACTTAACTCACGTAAACTTTCATCAAAATAGGGCTAGAAAGCTCCAAAGTGACCTAAGACAACTGAGAAACGCAGATAGAGTGTGAACAAGGTGAAGAGCAGAGCTCTGGCCCATGGAGTGTTCCCACGATACAAAACAGCAAATAAAAAGCATTTCTGAAGCTACTCTAAGTGCAATTTGACAGCCAGCGAGTCACAGGAAAATTTCAGAGTGGCCACAAGCGGGGTCTGAACGAGAGGCAGAGCTGCAAGTCGCCCTCTGCGTGGCTCTGCGGACAAGATTATAGGGCGATGAGCTGCACAGGGACGATAAGGACCACGGGCCCAAGAGGAAACCAGGGTGGTGGCAGCTCCTCCTAAGCACCACGAAAGCTGCTCCCGCAAACAGCATCTCCTGGACTTCCCTGCTCCAAACAGCATCCAGGTAGATGCACAGCTATTTAGAGCTGGATTGAAACCCCTCTACAGCAGGGCCAGAGCATCCATCCCTGCATGCGAGGTCAGTCCCAGTCATTTTTTGACCTTTGTATAAAACAAGAACCTTAGGGACTGAGGGCCGCTGGATATTTTGCTGCCTCTTTTTCTCTTCCCATGCCTTGGAACCTTTGAAACTCCCCTGTTCTCCACCAAGACAGGAGTCAAGCACATAAAGGCAGGAAGGAAACTGTTTTCCTTTKGAAGCCCTTGATTTGCTTTGCTGATTTGCAGTGATGCAGGGAAAAAGGAATACAGAAAGGCACTCTCAGGCTGCAGCAGCACATTAATGGACACAGGGCTCAAAATAAACCTTGCAAACAACCCCAAAGCAGACAGTTGGATTAAACAATTCTTCTGTCAAGTAAATGGGGGAAGCAACAACGGTCATCTTCCAGGTCGCATCCAAAGGCAATTGCTGGAATCGAGTGCAATCTGAAGGGACACAGGCCTGGCTGTCACATCCTTGGGACGCTGGAGAACGGTTTCAAGCAAGTTGCTCTCCTCTTGAGGCCACCTGATCTTTTAAAGCTGGAAGGAGACAGCCCTTCCAGAAGGCTGAGATAGAGAAGAGAGCGGGGCTGTGAGGTAAGCTGAAGAGTTCAAGGAAAGCAGAGCAAAAKGGCCTGTGAGGAAGATAAGGGCAGGAGGAAGGTTGGGAGAGCCAGGGCACACCCCTCGCCTCTCTGAAGCGGAGCGGGACAGAGGCTGCGTCCAGAGGCAATGTTTGCTTTAGCTAACGAAGACCCACTGGCCTCCACAAAATACGGAGTTGAGGTGAATCAAGAGCATGAGCAGCCAGGGACAAATAAGCATCTTCAATCAAAAATGCCTCATAGAGCACAAAGGGAAGAGAAAGAAAAAACATGAGCAGCCAGGGACAAATAAGCATCTTCAATCAAAAATGCCTCATAGAGCACAAAGGGAAGAGAAAGAAAAAAAAAAAAAAAAGCCGGAGCAGAAGCCCTTTGGCTTTAGGCCCCTCCTAGTGATTTTGGCAAAGCCGGAGCCCCTCGCCCTCACGGCCAGCACTGCAGGTCCAGGCTGATCTCCCAGCACTGTCCCATTCCTCGCTGGGGACACACTCCTGGTTTGAGAGCCACAATCCTCTTGGGACTGAGGTCATTTCCAAGGGCCCTAGTGAGGCCGCTCAGTCCTTTCGCGGCACGGACACCATGTGCAAAGCTGGGACTTCGCTTCAACTCCCCCTCCTCACCCGCAGGGATTAAACCCCCGAAAAAAGCACTCAGCCCATCACACTCCCAGCCTAACCATTCACAAAAGCCTTTTGTGCCTTCGCAGCTTCCTAGTTAAAAAATAACTCCAGGAGGCTGCACGGCTGGAGATACCATCCCCACGCTCCCTGCCAGGGCCAGCTCCGAGCTCGCAGGATTCCCCGCTCCTGCTTCAGACACCAGGCACTTTGGCAGCAAACACTAATGCTATTTTTAAATTGAACAGACCACAACACAAATAAATACTCGCTTAAAGAAAGCAATATCCAATTTTGCTAAAATAAAACAGTGACTTTAACCAGTGCTGAACAAAGTTGCTGCCAAAGTCTCTAAGAGTTGCTCCATTAACAGGGAGAGCAGCACATGGTTCAGCTGGACCTTTGTCCCAACACGTCCCGTGTCAATCCCAGGTTCTGATGTTGGTCACCGGGCTGGGGGACGCCTGCTCAGCCACCACGGGGCTTTGGGATGGAGCCGGCTCTGCAGGAAGGGTCCATTGCAGCTCAGAGCCTGCAGGGACAGTGGCTCTTGTGGCATGGTGGGGTTGCTCCCTACATGGTGACACCAGTTTGGTCACCAGTGGGTTTGCATCACGGTGACTCTGCAGTGAGTTCCCCCCGACACACACATCACTTCCCAAGAACTTTCCCGGTGGGCCCTGCCTCCCCTCGTGTCAAACAGCAGTGGCAAATTTCGTAGATAAGCGAGTTTAGGAAATCATGTCATTTTTCAATGACTAGGCAGTGTCTCCTTCCCTAATCCTATTCTCAGAAGTGGTTGTACAACTTGGGGCTGAAACGCTGTAAAAAGCATTGGGGGAAGAGTTTCAGGCCAATCTGGCGCGGATAAGATTAAAGCAGGCTGCAGACTGAGTGCATGAAGGGGAAACACAGGCGAGCTGACAAAGAGGTTATCAGCAATTTCAGAAGGGCTCTGCACCAAGAGCTGAGCCTCCACTGATGAAACCCGCTTCTGAAAGCCACTCGGTTTCACAAGTTGGCCTTTTAGTGAATAAAATCCCAAGGAGAGACACCGGACTGAGGAAAACAACCTTCTTTGGGGGGCTCACGGATTCTATACAAACCCAGGAGCTAAGGAATAATTCACATCCCAAAGCCTTTGATGGTTGTCACCCAGCCCAYGGCCTCTCATTCCTCACTGCTTTGAGCCTCTTTGGATCGCTTGTCGGTCATGACGAKCTCTGTCTCGAAGGGTTCTTCACCCATTTTGGCAGGAGTTAAAAGGTGATTATCCTGGGCTCATCGATCATCCACCTTGGAATATGGACAACGAAGTGCACAGAGGAACCATGGCTTTGCTGTCAACAGCTTCTCTCACCTGCTGGGAGTTAGACCTCAGCATGACAGGAGAAACTACTCCAGGACACACTAGTCCTTCAACTTTTGCTCAAAAGGGTCCTATTTCAYAAGCTACTTCTTGTTACGAGGTGCTACAGCATCTGTGAGCTATGATGAAATGCTCTGAAATTGCTGGTTTCTGTGTCTGAAAACTTTACTAGTTCTTAAGCTAAAACAGCCAAAATCTGCACTCAAAATGTTGGCCATGCAAACCGTACCAAGCTCGGTGTTATGAGGTGCTTCTGCAGTGTGTTCTCAAAGCTATGATACGACTCTTCCCAAGTGTTTTAAAGGAGAGGTTTTCAACCTCTGGAACATTCATTTGGAAAGGTTTTGGTCAAAGTGACATTTTATCTGTCTTAGCAGCTGGGAGAAAAGCGATAAGACTCAGGCCGTGCTAATCACTGACGTAAAAGCTGTTTTACAAACTGCACTTCTAACTACATGATTCAGCACTGAAAGCTGAGGCCATCTCCTATCTGGTGCTGTCAAGCCTATGATAATTGTTTCTAAATTAAACAATCATTTAAAAGGAAGATCGGTTTTCCAAACTGATGATCCAATGTTTCTCCAGTTGGAGGGCTCCTTTTGCCTCCAGGACTCTCTGGGAACCCAGAGGAGATAACGGTGCAGGAAGGAGAGCTGGGACCACAGGAAGCAGCAGGAGGAGGAGGAGGAGGAGGCTGGTATCGTTTCCTGAGCAAGTTGGGATGGGAAAGGAAGCAGCCTCGGGAGTTGATGGGAGTGGGAACAGAGCCGGGAAAAACATCGCAATTGCAACTCAATTTAATCTGGTGTGGGCTGTGTAATCTGGTACGTACAGGAGGCCCTGAGCGTCACAGTCACACACCAGCATTAACCCCTCTGATCCCTCGCTGGCAGCTAATGAGTTGGTGAAGAATCATTTCACCAACTCCTCCGCCAGCCTCGTGGACCACGGTGCAGCAGCACTGCTTTGCACCAGTTTGAAACACAAGAAGCAACACAAGAAAGACAAATTTTGAAACGGAACACTGTGAGCATCACCCACCTATGTGGTTCTGCAGCACAGCCAGAAACCTCAGCTGTGTCACCATCCCCTACTCACTTGCCAACACAACTCAAGCTTATTTAGACAGATTCTGCTTCCAGGTGGTTTACTTGTTCCCCTTTGGGGATATCCACCTGAATTCTCTGAAAGATCACAAAGTACAAATGTGCTTAACGGTTTTTCTCTAAACCTGCGCAGAAACCTGCGGGGAGGATAAAAGGAGCTGGATCCCAATCTTACAAGCTTACACCAGGTCCCCCACGAGCATCATCAGCAGTCTCACTTTTCAGAGCAAAATATGGCAAGGAAGTCATGAGAGCTACACTAATGTGACACCGAGATAAGATTAAAGCTAACAGGAAAATAAGGATTGTATTTCCAAAAGCTTTGCATTCCAGAAGGTTGTGCAGTGACCTATGTCTTTGGGTGCTCGGGCATCAAAGTGTGTCTGTAGGCACGCCAAGTTTTCCCTTCCTGTAGTTGGTAGGCAGCAAACGGGGAGTCCATAAATCGGTTTTGCCCTTTGGTTGCCATTGTATTTTTCCAACTCCATCACTCTGCTCTTGCTACATAAACCTTTCCTTGTGAGTGTTAAGGTACTGCGAGGAGGACACGGCAGAAACCACAAGAACAGTAGAACAAAGCAATCATTTTTGTGTTAAATTGTAGAAACCAAAGTGAAGTAGAAAGCAGTACCTCTGTCAAAGGCCTTGGTCTTCTCTCTACAACAAATTCTGTGTGGCAGAGCTCACAGTAACTTGTGTTGGAGGAGGATAACCATTTTTCCAGGCAGCTCTTGTGCACAGTGCCCAGGGTTCCCGTGCAGTCACATGGGGAGAGGAGACCCTCCCCGTTTCCACCTTCGTGACAGATTCGGCAGATGGGACCATCGCTGAAGAGACAAAGAGAACGAAATCACAGTCAGAGCAGGCAGAACGACGCAGCCATGTCCAGAGGACGGGGTCCGATGCCACCAAGCCCCAGAGAGGCACCAACAGCACCCRGTGCAGCCGTTGGGCACTCAGAGACATCACCCAGCAGCCTGCTGCGACAAGAATCTCAATCAAAGTCGCATTTACCAGCTCACCTACCCATTTTCAGACAGAAAAACATCAGGCAGGGCTTTCTGCTTCTTTCCTAAATCTACCCTGAATTATCAAAAACAGCCCCCACATCTCGCTTCTTTTTTTTCATCCAGCCAGACATTTCTTCTATACAACAACCCTCCTATCCATAGTTTCTCCCATCTGGGGATGAGAGGCAGGGGAGGAAGAAATATTTGTTGACGATCCTACTTTGTGCTCGTTGGAAACCCGAGTGGGCTGTATCCGCCGCCACCTTGCTCCACACAGATCTCATCTCGCAGCTCCTACTCAGCTGTGACTGGCACTTAAAAAAGAGGGGAAAAAAAACAGTCCATAAAAGAAGTTTGGGGGATTGCAATAGAGCCCAGGCCAGATCTTCAAAATCAGCAACACTTGCCTTGTTAGTCTGCACAGTCAGGCAAGAGCGAGGCCCAGCGGAACAGAAGCCAAAATATTCTCCCAATAGGGAGCATCTTGGGTAAAAAMATTGGCTCTTGAAGGACAGGGAAGGGCCAGCAGAGAACTGGAGAACTTCAGCTCAGGGACAGGCCTGGCAATGGGGGTCTACAGCGGCAGAGGYATCTCTGTCCTTGGAGCTCATGACAACTGCGCTGGCCAAGGCTCGGAGCAACCTGATCAAACTATGGAATCCACCTTAGTTTTGAGAAGACGCCTGGCCAGACCATCTCCAAAGGCCCCTTCCAATCTGAATTCCTACTGGTCCCACAGCCTTTTTTTTTGCAGTAAAGCTCATGGTAATATTAGGGAGACAAAATTATAGCCTTGGAGCAGAGCGAGCCCCAAACGCCCCAAGCCTCAAGCGCTCTCATGCAGCTGCTATTTCCTAAGAAATGCATCTGTAAGATATTTTATCCGCTCTCTTCCTGTTTGAGGAGTTTCAGATTTCCAGTGCATTAATATAACCTTGGCTACCAATAAACAATCCAGAAGGAAAAAATTTGCTGATGCATCAAGAAAAAAAAAGTTCGTATCAGCCTGTTTCTCCTTCCCTCCTAACTGGGGGTGGGGAAGGGGGCCTGACTGCACCTCCCACCCACAGCCTCCAGACCCCCTTTCCCACACGCTGTAGAGCCTGGAACAGTAATCCCACTTTCAGCACAGTTGCACAGCTCCTGGTGTGGCCTCATTTGTAAGATTTTGATCTGCTGCAGCAGTTTATATTACAGCACCGGTCTTTCTACCATCCTATCTGTTAGGTAGAAACTCTTATTTCATGCATTTCCAAAAATGAACTGCAAGACACACTTGTGCACAAGGAATCCTTYTCTGGAGGTCTTCAAAACCTGCCTGGATGCCCCCCTGTGCCACTTGCTCTGGGTGTCTCTGCAGGAGCAGGGGGTTGGACTAGATGACCTCCAGAGGTCCCTTCCAACCTTAACTATTCTGTAATTCTGTSAATCTCGTYTTTTGCCCTGTAATCCTAGGCCATTTTCCCAGCGGATCTTCCCACCTCACCTGGTTTTCCAGGCACGCGCAGCTCCCCTCCCAGCCTGCGTGCTGTTACAGAGCAAGCCGACCTCCGCTCATATTTTTATCTCCCTGCTCCAGATTTGCTTGGCGTAGCAATTACTTTTGCCTCAGTTCTCACGTAGCCTTTCTGCCTTCCTCCCCCCGTTTACACTYGCAGCTTTCACACCTCATCAGCGCTCGGCCTGCTTTGCTGAGAAAAGAAAACCAGCTGTTGGGATGGGAGGAGAACCCAAATTTTGACCAGTCTCAACATCTGAGCTCGACAACAACACCGAGRATCTGGACACTGCACGAGGCACACGAGAAGTCACACCACGATTATCCAAGCCTGATGCTGTCCTCTTCCTGGGGCTGCAAATGTGCACCAAGATTTTATTCCWGGAGGGCCTTGGTAAAGGGGATTTGCTCCATCTTCTGCCCTTAAATCATCTCTGTGAGTAGCTGGGTGTCCCTGCTCACACGCTGGAGCAGCCACAGGTCCATGGGGATCTGGCCAATCCATCTGCTTGGCACGAGTAGCCTGGCACATTGTTTGGCTAATGAGGAATCATCCTCAATATCAGCCTCATAGGAAGCACCTTCACAGATGAGACCTTGATGTCCCCCGCTATGCTTAAAAGCCATAAAAAAGGGGAAAAGAAACAAAAAGCAGGCAGAGCCAGCACACGCCTCTTACCTCTGCGCGCCCAGGGCCTTGATGACCGTGGAGAGGAGGCGGCCATCCTTGGCGGTGACCTGCGTGACGTACTGCGGGCGCCCGATGTCCGAGTCGTCCACCGACTTGGAGAGGGCGGCGCTGCCCGGGCAGTCGCACAGGGAGCCGGGGAGGTGGCAGCAGTCGCCCGTCGTCATGGCAGCTCCGCAGGGCACAGAGACCTGTGGCGAGAGGCGCCGAGGTGAACGGTGGGCTCGTCAGACCCCGCTCGCTGCCCTCCTGCGGGCCCGGGCTGCCAGGGCCCCTGCAATGGGACACGCGCCCCAGGGCCCTGAAAAAATCACTACTTCTGCTGGCCTCCTCTCCCTTTTAATACGTTTTATGAGGCCGTCATAACCTAAAATTAAGGCTYCGAGCATCCCACTTATATAAGTTCACGTTGGAAGTGCAAATTGCCTTTCCCAGCGGGAGCTCCCGGCAGCCACCCTTTCCCCCAAGGAAGCCTTTCCACCTGGAATTGCCAGTGCAGGAAAGCCCCCTGTGCCCGTTTCACTTGGCTGGAGCCAAGTGAAGTGAATTAGGGTACTGAAAACCCTAATTCATGTCCTTTGAGCCACAAAGTTTCACCTGAACRTGGTCCTTGGCTGTCCTCAAGCAACCCAGGTCAACAAGGCCGCTTGTTCCAGTTGCCCTCAGGGACTTCCAAGCCATTTAAATCCCATCCACCAAACTRTCACACCCGCCAGAGTCCCCCTGTCCTTTAATGTTCCCTTTTTTCACCTCCTTACGGAAACGCACCAACGCATGGAAACGCTTTCCCATCCCATGTGCTCCATCCCAACCGCGGACATGAGGGCACCAACCACCCTGAAGCTTCGGAGACCTTCTAAGAGCTTCACCAAGGCCGTAACCGCCTGACCACCCCCAAAACCACACACACCAGGGGAAAATATTTTGTTGGGTGCAGGGGAGATGGGGGGGATCTCCACTCTGTGCAGCAGACGCGTGCAAATAAACCCTGGCCATCTCGTCACAGGAAACGCTTTTGTTTCGCCAGCCGCCGCGCGACGGGAGGGAAACGTTCCCATGAAGCGGCGCTTTCGTCATGTTCAGCGAAGCCGAGAGCAAACTAAAATAGCTGAAGGAAATAAGGGCTTGTTCCTGGCTGGGCTACAAAAGAAAAAAAAGGAGGAAAATAAATAAAGATCCAGAATGTGATGGCAGAAGGCCTGAAAATGCCATGGTAGGGATGCGAATGCACCCAGCCACGTTTGCTGGTCACCACAACGCAGCTGCATTCGAGGCTTCCTTGCAAGAAGCTGCTTTTAAGGCCTTTAAAAAGTTCCCAGTTATTTTTCTCCTTTTGTTAAAGCCGCTTTTGGGAGCTGCCTCTGCAGCTGGACAGCAGGAGGCTGGAGCGCGGGGCAGGGCGCCCAGACGAGCGGGAACTTTCCTGCAATGTTAGGGTGAAGTTGGCGGGCTCAGCCCAGCTCTCCATCCACGCATAAAGCTTGTCAGGTCTGCACCCCTTTTCCTAAGACTTTCCTCCAAAAAAACAGAAAGAAAAGCGATGCTGAGGARCAAAAAGTACGATGATAAACGTGATCGGACCGACTTAAGCTGGCTGTTTTGCAAGTTAAGGATTTCTTCCAATTTTCAAAGCCTCTCGCTGACCCAGACGAGGRCAGATAAATGCTTTTAATAAAGAGTGTCATTCCATTGGTTCAGCCAAAATATTGTTTGTTTTCTGAAGTCCAGAGSGGGGAAAATAAAAGGTCCGTTTGTGCCTTGGAAACAAACTGCCATCCCTCCCTGCGTCCTGGGAGGGTTTCCAGAGGCTCTTTGTGCTCCGCGGATAGTGGCAGCGTGGAGTGTCCTCCTCCCGACAGCCCCGTTCAGGGCTTAGCGGGAATGGCCATGCYGGATCCATTGGGAAATGTGGGATTTTCTAACACAATTTGTTCGGCATTTCCTTGCCGGGGTCCATCACAGGGTGTAGCCTGAACTCACCGTTTTAATATGCGACTGAGTCATGTCATGCAGTAAATACAGAGGAAGAGCAGCGAGATTTTCACGGGCGCAGCAAGCAGGGAAGTCGCTGCAATCCAAAGATAACATCTGCAGCACGATCCGCTTCCCATTTCGTACCCGGTGGAATGAGGACCGCAGTGTGTGGCCAAGCAGAGCCCTTTCCCAGCTCTCCAAGGCTTCAGCTCATCACCACACACGCTTCCTTCGCCACCAGCAACAACTCGACGGGGCCAAACTCAGCATTACAGCAGAAATCCCCCAAACTCAGGGCCAGGATCACACTGGGCAGCTGCTATTTCTCAGCCTGTTTCTTGGAGATGTATTTCTCRCTCCAATGAAAAGGAAGAAAAAGAGGGAAAAAAGACCTCTGAGACGTGAGGCTTATTGCTGATGTCTTCTCTGCTGCTGCCGTTAGACAAAAGCAAATAGATCAGTGGGTCCTTCTAGGTGCTGTTTTGTGTCTTAAGCTCCTGCGAGGATCTGGGATACAACTGGCTTGCAGAGCTTACTCAAAACGATGAAAAAACGGCTCAGAAATGGGAGTTGTGTGCCAGGATGCTCAAACACGGGCGGCGAGCTGACCCGGTTCCTGGAAGAGCAGCTAGCGCCAGGGTGCCGATCCAAGCACAGACTTGGGTGCTGCTGCAGCATCCCGCCAGCCCTGGGCCTCACCCAAAACAAGCCAAATTATATCAGTCTGACTGGGCTTTGAGCATCACAACAGAAGATAAAATGTCATCCAGTTTATACCACGCGAAGGGCTACAGGAGTTTCTCAACACTCCAAAATGCCTAAGGAGCCCAAGACTGTGCAGACCAGGCTGAACTGCTCCTGCTCCATCTCTCCATGGGCAGTAACCACGTTGTGGCACCTCCCTACACTAAAATCCAGCTATAATCAAGTTCTATTGCCAGCATACAGCTAGTAAGCCAATATTTTCTGTGTGAAGAAGGTCAAGGCTCTCACGCTTGCCTCTGTAAAACACTTTTCCCTAACCTGGGACTGCAGAAGCTATTTTCTAATCATACGGTCTTGTAAGCATCTTTCAATAGTGAACTGAAGTTGCAATAAGGCATTTCCCAACCTCAACGCTTTCCTTTCCAACAGTAAAACTGCATCTCCCAAATCCTATGGCTCTGCAACATCTAAAAGCAAGCTTCTTGAAGGAGAGAGCATGGGGAATTGCTTCCTTTGCCACATCTCAGGGTGCCTCCTCCCACGTGCCGTCTCCCATACCCAATGCATGTTTCCACAGCCAAAGTGCAACCACGGGCATCCAGATCTGCCCATGTTTCCCTGCAACCCCAGAACTGGCCAGGACTCGGCAAGAAACCTGGCCAGCCACAGGCTTCAAAGTCATTTCAGTGCTGACGATCTGCCAGACAGGGTGCAACGAGGCCCAACTGGTGGCAAAAGCGACACTTACAGCACTTTACAACGYTTCTCCGAGCATCTAAATTCAACGTGATGTCGCAGTGCAGCTCTCAAAGYGTTTTCGAGTGCACAGGGGAACATTTCACTCCCCAGGCAGCTCCTCGGTTTCCTTCCTCGTCTGCAACATTTGGTCAAGAGTCACAGCTCGAGGAGGTGCTGTAAAAACTTCAACGTTAACTTGATCTTCAGGCGGTGCCAGGGGAGGAGCGCTGTGAATCACACGGTCGCTGCGCAGACCCGACAAGGCTCAAACCAGAAGAATCCAAACAAACTGAAAAAACACCCAAGGGACAAGTCCATGTAGGAGAGGAGAAGCTTATAGGGAACAATCTTCGGAGACTTCTGGTTTTGTCCCATTTCTATATTACCTGCAGCTGTGAGGTTGCTAGTCCCAGCCTTAATGTAACACAGAAGTTCTCCAACGACAATAAAAACCTGGGTTTTGCTGTGGACAAGTGATCAAAACATCCCGTCTCAGAACGGGCCACTTTTCAGACCTATCCAAACACAGTCAAAAGCCTTAACTATTTAGGCAATGCTAAATAGTTAATAGTTAAAGAGTTAGGCAGTGCTTTGATGCAAAGCAAGTGTCTATTCCAAACATACATAAAGAAATTACTCCAAAGCTAGGGTGGGTTTCGTTTGTTTCTTTTTTGAGAGAGATTATGAGGATCTGACTTCTAGTCTTTGCGGGTAAGACAGCGAGTATTTATGATCATCCCTCCTCTCCAAAACCTCCTGCCTAGCCCCTCAGCAAGCTGCACATCGTCAGCGTCTTGGGCAGAGCAAAGAAGCAACCCTAATTTTCAACCCTAATTTTCAAGCAACCTCACAGAGCCGGGGCTCCCCTCTCAGTCCTGGGTGAACACGCAGAGCTCTAAGGCCCGAGGGTTCCCATTAACCCATCTCATGTCACTCACCTCCCGGTTTCCTAACAAGACAGAACTTTCAGAGCACGTTGCCTAACATATTATATTGCTTAACATTCAAAAAGCAGCAAAAAGTTCAAAGTTACACACCGAGGAAAAGAAAACTCAATATGAGGAAAATGAGAAGCCTAAAGGACTGTTTCTTTATTGTTCCAAGTTGTACTTGGAAAAGATCAGGCTGTGCATTACAGCTGGAGTGCCAAAATGAACACAGCAATCTCGGATCTTCTCAGACTTTTTATCTGCCACGAGACCACAGGAAAGGAAAGTTGCATTTTAATTACTGACATCTGGACAAATGAATTGCAACATTAGGAGAAAATCCTTTGCAGAGGGCATCTCTGAGCAAAAACCAGATATTGAGCCAGCTTATTAACAAGTTTTAAGAGGAAACTACTGAAAGCAGCTGGGACGTGACAAACACCTGCTCTCTCAACGAGTTTTTAGAAGACACCAGTTTTCTTCCAGGTGAACAGCAATACAGCTTGCCACATAAATTAAATTCTACTGATTTTGTGCCAACCCTCTCTCTGTGTTTGAGCAGTCGCTGTCGGCAGAGAGAAGCAAGAGCTGCAGCAGTGCCAAAACTCAGCGGCTCCCTGTCCACTCAAACTGCAAGGCAGTTTCAACGTGTTCACAGCAAATTAATTTTCCAGCTTTGGGAAATACAAGAGAAAACCCCAGTTTCCCCACAGCAAAAGTGCAGGCACCAGATCAACAYGGAGGAGGCCACACGGCACGGTACGGGTCGCTCCCGCAGAGGGGATTACTCATACGGAGGCAAAATATTATTTCAGAATCTGCAATCCTGAGCCAGGAAGAACTTGCGCGCTTCAGTGTTCTTGTTTTTGCTTTATAAAGCACCATTTATATCACTATACAAATAATTACRCTCTGCCCACGGGCCTGCTCTGAATGCTCCGAGATCACTCCGGCTGCTCCAAGCGACCGGCGGCGCATTTGTCTTTTAACGGGGAGATCTGACCCCAAATTAACTTGTCTGTCTCTATTTTGCTACCTGATTATTTTCTGGTACTCATTCTACGCTCAGTTTTCCCGCATAGGCGCTGCCATCTCCTTCTACTCTTCCATCCATCCRCGCCCAAAGAGCTACAAAACAGGCAGGAACCTCCCCATTCTACAAAATACCCTAATCCCGAGGGCAGCAATAGAACATTTTTTCAGTTTGTCACCAGGATTCCACTTTAACTGACTACAATTGCAAGAGCAGTTACAGCACGCTGAATAGCTAAGCTATGTTTGACTCTGAGGTTAACCACATGTTATCATCTCGCATTAGATCAGGAATTGGACAGTCRAGAAGTTTACTTACAACTGCTACTTCAAATCAGAAAGCAAAGCAAGCTTACGGACGCATATTTTGATTGAAAGCAGAGATAGTGCAAAGGGTAACGTTGCTCGATCTGCTAAGGTCCGGGGCAAATTTTGCACGACTGACRGGGAGGAAGAGCCCTAAGACATCAGTAGGACTGATCCCTGCTGCTCCCTCTGCTAGTGGATAGGAAGCTTCACAGCTTAAGGTAGTTTTAACCCACGGGAGGGCAGTTTTACCTGGATTTCATGCAGGCGCTGACCTAACATTGGTTTATTTCTGTGCTCAGTTCTCTGCCACAGCAGTAACCCACAGTTTATCTGTCTCATATAACAAGAAGACCTAGAAGTGGTTCGTATATTTTCAAGGGGGCAAACATAAGTAAATGGAGATCACTTCACTCTTGTAGTAAGAGTTTGCACCAGGAGCATGCAGAAGGATTAACTTAAACTGAGTAAATAAAACTGGTGTGTGTTTGGGGAGGCTAAAGAGACAACAATAATGAACTTTACTCTGGAGCCAAAAAAAAAAAAAAAAAAAAAAAAGGAATGGCTTAGAAAATGGAAAGTCTGAGACCTCCAAACATCCAAAGCTGAGTCAAAGTCAAGCAGGGAAAAATAAACTCATCTGGCAGTTTACAGTTTGGGACGCCCTATTCCTCCCTTCATCTTCTAAGGCCCTGCCTTTAGCGTGAAAAGCCAAGATACTTTAAAGAATAATGAAAAAAACACCCACACGTTACATGATATTTTGCAGCTCAGCCTTCAGAACCGCTACAAAGCCAAGTACCGAGGACTTGCAACAGCCCTTCATGATTAACAGGGCCTCAGAGACCACCTTGAGCCTCAAGCTCTTCATTTCCCAGCCTGAGCTGGGAGCAGTTTAGGCTGTTTTTGTACTTGCTGCTTTGCCGAGTCTTTAATAATGTCTTGGGGAAACATCCTGTCCCGCACGTGCTTGACCGGGGCCAGCATCAACAACCTAGGGTAGGAAATCCCCTTTTCCAGCATTTATTAAGGCAAGAAATGACCCCGCACGAGAAGCTGCTCGCAGTTAGCAATTCAAAACGCTGCCGGTCTGCGCCCTCTCCTTGGTGTCCAGCACAGGGTGACCTCAGCCTGCAGCCTCCACGCGATTTTGCAGTGAAAAACAGGGAATTGGGAAGGCTGGGGAAAAAACACGAATCAGGACTGTACATAAGGAACTATCAGTTCTTCTGCTTGTTTGTTTTCACTTGTTTCCTTAAGACCTGCYGCAGCATGATTAGCTACGCACACGCCGTACCTGTTCTCTTCCCTATTTTACGGCAGACATTTGACATCCACGGTAGGGCCCTTGGCCACGTGTGCGGCTGCTTCCTGGTCCACCTGCTCTGCACCTGGCAAAGTCAGGACTTCCTTGGTGCTGATGCAGGCGGCCTGGGACACGCAGGGTCCGTACGTACCTGCGAGGGGCTGAGCCTTGTGCCCCCAACCTGAGTTGGTAAATTCGCTGTTACAGGGCACAGGACGAAGGAATTTCCTAGTCTCGACTCACAGTTTAAAACACCTGGAAAACCAGGCCAGCCCCTCCAAATCCTCTCCGCAGCAGGAAAGCAAGGCTAATATCCAGCTATTGAAAGCACTGCTTGCTAAGCGTATAGGACAGCAGGTTCCCAAAAGCCAGGGGGATAAGGAGGAGGCCTGGCCACGACCCTCGGAGCTGGGCCTGGAGCAGCACCGTGTCCCACAGCTTCTTGGCAAAAAGCTGGAAAAAGGCTCAGCAGGTGAAGGAAGTCCTGGAAACTACAGGGAGAGGAAAGGATTTGCGGAGCAGAGCCAGGGAAGGAGGTCGGATGGACACAGGCCCTTGAACACWGGGAAGGGAGGCTGCAGGATGCGCGGCGGGGCAGCAGCGGGATGGAGGTGCCGAGCACAAATGCGCTCCACGGCGCCAGCTCTGCTCCAGATACGCGTTTCCAGCAAAGTCATTGTCAGCCCCGACTTCAAAGCCA